TGTATACACATTACTTTTCTTTTGTGCACACTAGTTGACATGTACCTATTTGAGCTGGCACACCTATTTCACTTATTTTAATCTGCTTTATTTTTTTTTTCTTTTACTCTTCCTCAAACTATAACCCTTTTTGATCTCCAAGGGGTACTACAATATGGCAGTCTAATGACACAGTGTTCCAGATCCAATCCTACAGACCTAGTTCTTGCTAAGTTATATTATAAAAATGTGCAGAATTATCACACAGCCATGCAAATTTTACGATGTCTTCTGAAAAGCTTGCACTTAATGGTGTAGCACAATACGCCTGCTTGTAATTCCATGCAAAACAAAAATAAGGAATTTTTAAAAAAATACAATAAAGTAATAGTTAAAAAACAATTACAATTTAATGAGCAGACGGACTGCTTAGGTGGTATAATCTTTACCAAGGATTCTTTGAAATTGGTCCGCAGATGTCACTAGTAGTAAGAATGGATGCCAGGTAGAAGACAGTCTAATAATTGCTAATGACTGTGACGTTATTTTATCACCCCACTGTATCTCTTATTGTAGTGTAGTTAAAGAATTTTAAAAAACAACACTTTTTTTATATGTGTATATGTTAAAAAAAAAAAAAAACATTAAAAAACTAAACAATTGTACTACAATATATTGTAGCACTGGCCAATCAACATTTCCTCATAGAGATGCAATGAATAAATGCATCTCTATAGAGAAAGTTCAGCGTCACACTTTGAGCAGCACTGACCCAGGAAGCACCTCTAGTGGCCGTCTGAGTGACTGCCACTAGAGGCGTTACTAAGCAGTAATGTAAACAGTGTTCACATGAAAAGGCAGTGTTTACATGAAAATGTCTGTAGAGACAGGCTATAGACACCAGAACTACAATAAGCTGTATTTGCCCTGGTGATTGTAGTGTCCCTTTAAGTATATAGCCTGTGATGTCTACTCTATAAAAATACATACTTTCATGTGGCAATTTGCTTTCTTTGATAGTTATTAAACTTACAAGACAATCATACCAAATTCTAAAATTGCTCCACATTTAATTTTTATTTTATTCCTTATGTTTTGTTATCTGTAACTCAGTGCCGTATTTAGCCCAAGGCAAACTAAGCATTTGCCTTGGGCAGCACTATTTAGGGGGCGGCAAATAATGCCACCCCCAAACACCGCTCGGACGTCCCTCTGTCATGCGGGGCTCAAGAGCAGGTCGGTTGGCCACCTAGTGGACCCCCCTCCCCCCAGGCAGGTGGCTGTTCTAATCAGAGGCGGCGAGAAAGCTGTGATCTCTCTGATCTGCTGGGCAAAGGACTACGACGTCATATTTCGGTTCCCGGCATCAGTAGACGGCCCTTGAGGGAGCAGAGAGGAGAGATAATAGCTCCCTCGCCGCCTCTGATTAGAACAGCCGCCTGCCTCACTGCAGCCCCACTGGACCCAAGGGACCAATCCATGCCAGCTTTCTCAAAAGGTAGGGAGGCTGTGCATGAGGACATCCAGGATCTGCTAAATACCCATAGGATTTTAATCCCTTCAGTGTCGAGTGGGGAGGGGAGGACACGAGGGGGGGGGGGGGACTATAGGGAATTATAGTGCCAGGAAAACAGCTTTGTTTTCTTGGCACTATAGTATTCCTTTAAAAGGAGCAGGAAAAGGTGGAGTGTAAAGAGGAAGGGGTGGGTTTTTAATCAGCGCCCTTGACAGGAAGGGTGGTAAATTAAGATTAGGGGTGCCCAGGTTTAGTCATGCCTAGGGCAGCACAAAATTAAAACACCCCACTGCTGTAACTATCAAAAATGAACTAAAATCTTAGACAAATAAATTAATTTTTATTGAATTGATTTTCTTAAGCTGCACTTATTATGCACACATTATTATTCCCAAAACTGTAAGACTTGTTTATATATATATATATATATATATATACACACACACATAAAAGAAACCAAGAGGGCTGCACTCACCTGAACATGCATACATTATACGGTGCTGTTGGGGCCAAAATATACAAAATACAGAATCCAGCGCACTCGCTTATTCACTAAACAATGCTTTCAAAATTTTAGTGATTGTAATAGTTTTATTTAAAAACACCTCACCTAGGCAAAAAATGATGGGGGGTTAGTTACATTATATGATTATACATTGCATAAGCCTGCCAACTACGTCAAAGTACTCCATATTCGGCAGGTCCTAGCCTAGTAGTACCCCCAAAACTGTAAGACTTGTTTTTATATATACATATATATTTTCTTTTATTTTTTTTATTATTATTTATTAAAAGAGAATGTATGTATGTACATGTCACATCAAATTAAAGTCCTTTTTTGGCCTTAAATGAGAAAGATGGAAAATGTAGTTGCACACACATAGCAAAAAAAGGCAACATTACTTGTGTCCATAAGTACAAAGCAAGCAAATGGAAGATGTGTCCTTAAGGGATTAACTGCCCACGTTTTCTGAACAAGTCACTGCTGACTCCTTTTTTAATATTGGGCATTGAATCAACATTTTGAAACTGATGTCTTACTCAAAATATAAAATCCTTTGAGAGACAATGAAATCTGTTGCATGATCTGTCTAAATCTGAAACTAAAAAATATGATTCACATATTTTCTTAACTTCAGTCCTGGCAGATAATTAGAATAAATCATGTTTTAGTTCATGCATTTCAAATCCTGTATGATTAAATGAGCTCTGTCAGCATGAGTATGAGACAAAACAAATCCATATAAGTAAACTTAATTCAATTAGTGGATAGAGAATGCATATTGAAACAAAAGGGATTATGAAGCAAAGTGGATATTCTGCTGTGTTTGAAAACTGATGCTGTGGTTTATCTCTTAAAGGAGCACTGTAGTGCCAGGAAAACAAACTAGTTTTCCTGGCACTATAGGGTTATTAGGTCCCGTCCCCCCCTCCCTCCCTCATGGCACCCCTCCTGCTAGGCTGAAGGGGTTAAAACTCATTCAGCCAGTTACCTTAATCCAGCGCCGGGCTCCCTCGTCGCTGGTGACCTCTCCTCCCCATGCTGACGTCAGCTCCAAATGCGAATGCGCGGCCAGAGCCACGCGCGCATTCAAACCGCCCATAGGAAAGCATTACTCAATGCTTTCCTATGGACGTCAGCGTCATCTCAGTGTGATTTTCACTTTGAGAATCGCGGAAGCGGCCTCTAGTGGCTGTCAAGAAGACAACCACTAGAGGCTGGATTAATGCTCAATGAAAACGTTACAGCTGAAGGGTTAAAACCAGGGGGACCTGGCACCCAGACCACTTCATTGAGCTGAAATGGTCTGGGTGACTATAGTGGTCCTTTAAGGAACATGTTGCAATATGGTTTCATTCATGACCCTAAATAAAACATTAGTAGAAGTAGGTACAAAAGTCGAAGTATATATTTCAGTACTGGATTATTACTTGGAAACTTGCCCACATTTGATTTATGGCAGTATATGTTAAATGTCATGTATATACTTTACTATAATTATTTCACATACAATTTTTCAATAAGGACTGTTTGTTGGCAAACATGCTCTATAATATATTAGAGTTAACTATATAATATGATTAAAAAAAGCATGAAAATAAATGTTGTTATGAAGCTAAATTGCTAGTCCACTGGGCCTCTTCCATGTGCTGTCGGTTTAGTGGTTTATTAAAACATATTAAAGGGATATTCTAAGCACCAAAAAAGATTTAATGTAATGTTGTCCCTTTTTTCTGACAATGTAAAACATTTGACCACAAACACACCCCTAGTGGCTGTAAAGCAGGCATCCACTAGAGTTACTTTCTCCTTCAGAGCTTATGATCTTCAAAGGTCTTCACATTCAGCCTCATCAAACCAGAAAACACTGCTCCCAAGACAATGGCATAACCATGCCTAAATAAAACAGCAGAGGTCTTGGTTCTTTTACACTTTTAAAGGTTTTAAGTACCTCAGACCACAACCACTCTACATGATACCAGCTCAACAAATTACATAAAAAACAGGATAGGCAAGTGAACATAGCTGCAAATTTAATATATTATAAATAAATCTAATTTAAAATACATTTAGTAGTTCATGTCATACTTCACAATTGTATCTATAGAACGTAGTGAACCATTAACTGAAAAGATTAAAAAGTAACTGACAAAGATCTTATAAGCTTGTTATTTGTATGAAAGATCTATGAAAATCCTTACATGTACATTGAAGCATTACACATCTGAGGTTCATTAGAATTCACTTGCTTCATCTGACAGGAACTCAGCTCATCTCAGGAAATAGAGGACTTAACCTGCCAAACACCTCCCTGAACCTCTCGGACAGTGCACCAGATGCTCATAAAAGCCGAGTAGATTGCTTAACTGGAGGCTGATCCTTAATACAACCTCTGCTGGTGTTACTGAGACTGTCACGTTTATTGTGGAATTAGGCATGTGTGATATTGCTAGAATTATTCGTTTTATGTCCCTTTTTATCATTTTTTGGAACTTGCTCTAGTGGCCATCTCCCTCGCCAACATTTTATTTCTAATGGTGAGCTATCTGCATGTCTTAAAACATATGGTTATTTTGTGCTTGAATCGTTTTGTGTGTATGTGTGTGTGTGTGGGAGGGGGGAGTTTATTTGGCTTTTAGCAGAGTAGTGCTTTTCTAAAAATGAGCCAGTTATGTAATACATTGACAATGTCTGTCAGGATCTTTTTCTGACAACTAAGTTTTATCTTTTATTTATGTTTCTTTAAATCCAGTACCTCTTTCTCGCCTCTAGTGGCCTCCCTAACCACTTCAGTCTCACACCTGCATTGCAGGAATCAAGTATTCTATAAAAGGCCACACCCAACAAACCAAGTGGCCTTTACATTGAAGTTAATGTTCATAGTGAAGAGACTTCAGATCCCGGCTCCTGAGAAGCAACATGTGATTTACCCGGTTTAATACCAACCCTGCTCCATATCAACCCTGCTCCATACCAACCCTGCTCCATACCAACCTGGATTGCCTGCAACTCTGCTTTATCCTGCCAACCTGGTTTACTACCAACCCTGCTCCATACCAACCCTGCTTCATACCAACCTAGATTGCCTGCAACTCTGCTTTATCCTGCCAACCTGGTTTACTACCAACCCTGCTCCATACCAACCCTGCTTCATACCAACCTAGATTGCCTGCAACTCTGCTTTATCCTGCCAACCTGGTTTACTACCAACCCTGCTCCATGCCAACCCTGCTTCATACCAACCTAGATTGCCTGCAACTCTGCTTTATCCTGCCAACCTGGTTTACTACCAACCCTGCACCATAACAATCCTGCTTAACCCCTATCTAACATAATTTGCAGATGATCTGGAAGATTACTTATACTATTCACTGCCCTAAGCCTTGCCAAAATATATCAATTACATGCACACACATTCTCAATGCTCTTCTCTATCAAATCTATCTACACTAACCCAAGTAAAGTACATCACAGAATTCAAACCTGGTTCCTCCAAGAGACCTTCCCATGTACATTTGCCACGGACTCCTGGAGAAATGTAGAAGCCTGTCTCCTGGTTCAGGTCTGGGACACCGTTTGGGAGTTACCTTGCCCAGCCACCATTAGTAGCTTTCCCTGGGTGCCCCTGGTTTGGCACATTCCCTTCATGCGAATAGAAATGAATGCTGGGTCTCTGGCGCAGTTCACATGAACAAAACCCAAGAATAGTCCCAGCGGTACTTAGCAGCGACCGCTATGGAACTAAATACGACATGAGGACTTCATGGGTTCCCGATCACCTCAGCGGGACTCAGCCGCGAATTGTATGGAACTGTTTTCGTGCGGTTCCCAGACAACTTGATTTCCGGTTTTTGAACCACTTTGAAATCCGCCAGGACAGCGCTTTTTGTAGGGAAGGTGTCTGAAACTAAGGGGAACAAATGCTACCTATAAGCCAGGTGCAGCACCCCGTATTGCGGCCGCATGAGCTCCCAGAAGTTGACCGTCAAAAGCACCAAAAGCCCTGAAACTATTTTGGGCATAGGAAATTAGAGAATCTTTCCTGTCCAACACTATGGAAGTGGTACAAGGATATGCTTCACCACTATAGATAGGGGTCTGAGGCTTAAATGAATGCGAACAAACAATGGGATGTGGTGAGGCACCATATAATACTAGTATCTTAAAACATGACTGTTTTTTCATATGGTAAAAATTATTCTGAAAAGGATGTATACAAATTACAGGTGAGACTAAGAAATACATGAAAAAACAAAAAATATGTAGAATAAAACAATGCAGATAGCACAGTGTCTCTTTCTGAGATACAACATGAAAACTTCAATAAGACTTAAAAATAAGTAAAGAGTTTTTTTCAGGATAATTTTAACCATATGAAATAAAGGTTATGTTTTAAGATACTAGTATTATATGGTGCCTCACCACATCACATTGTTTGTTCCTATTTTTGGGCATAGGACCACGTGTGCAACCGGTCAGAACTTTAACACTGTGGTGTTTCGCTACACTGCATGGATATGAGTGCTATTTGGAGAACTTGCGTGCTCAGATCAGGGCTATTTAACAATGTATAATTTGTGGGGTTATTTATGCTTTTATTATGTTTTGGGGTATTTTTATGTTTTTATATTTTTGTGTTTGCCTCTCTGTTCCTGGGAGATAATTAGCTTACCGGTCTTTAACACAATTATCTCCCAGGCCCAGAGATCCTGGGAGGGGCTTGTGGTGAAGACAATGGAGATCCCCTGCTGGGGTCTGTGTATAAAAAGGCTGTGTTTGGATGCATTAAACCATTTGTACTCCCAGAACTATGTGTCGTCTAGTTACTGGGAGGAAAAAGGGCTAATCACTGTTCCAGCTTGTGGAGGATTCAGCAGACAAGGGCATTGTAAGGACTAGAGCTCCCAGGACTTTGTGTCGTCCAGTCCCTGGGAGTGAATAGAGCTAGTCCCCTATCCTGCTCCAGGACGGAGAGGCTCTAGGAGGACACCAGTCAAACCACGGCTACTGGGGCAGAAGCGCTGTGGTTTTCCCCTGTTCCAACTAGGCAGCGGTCCTTGGCGGTGGTACCCAGCTGGCGTACAGGGAGCTCCGCTACAGTTTTTATGCCTTATCATCTAGAGTAGAGTCCATGTTTTCGAATGCTTTGATTCAAACATGTCAAACCCTTGGACTCTAGAGTTCATCAATGCATCTGTGATTGTGACTAGGCTGGTTTCATCAAGGAACAGATTTCTTGTCAGTGGAGGAATATAGGGAGGGCCCTGATGCAAGAATTTGTTTTTGGTTCCCTCTCTAGCTCAGGGGTGGAAGATCCTCAACTGTTGGGCAACACCCATCATGCGATGGGTTTATTTTGGATGAAATGCTAAACAGGCTGCTTCACAAGGTTACATAACAGCAGGTAACTTCACAGGATGAATGCCAATGCAATGTAACAACATTCACAGAAACCGTACAGAGTTTTATAGACCGAATAAGTTACTTACATAGATTACATCACCATTTCAAAATAATAATTCACAAAAGTCACAGTCTGATCAATTATTATTGTGGCAAAATAATTATGTACCGAAGACAAATTATAGGGTATACTTCACTAAACCATGTGGAAAATCAGGTAGAATCAATTAAGCATAGACATGGAGTCAAAGTGAAAAACAGGATAATAAATTAAAAAGTTGTTGAATCATTTAATTGACACATGAAAAACAGGCAGAATCAGTTAGCTAAAAGATTAGATGAGCTTCAGTAACGTATAGCAAAGGCCCGAGCTCTGCCACAAACCCTGGGTATATGTTTACTATATCTCTCAGAGGTTACCGTTTACTTATAGCTAAGGTGACACACAACAAAAGTCCTAAAGTGTTTAGTATTTGGTTCATTCCAATAAATCTTCAACCCCACAATCTTACCATAATTGCAAGCACATTATTAGAAGCATTCACAACTATACACATTACAAATTTGAATCCGAATAATGTTACCATATTTTAGATACTACAGAATGTGAATAGCATTTAGTCACTAAACCTCCGATCACAGTTAATGAAAATCAAATTGCAAAAATAGCTGATTTCTGCTCACTCATAGTCACAGTTTAGCTATCTAGCAACATTTTGAAGTTTATTAAATAAAACCCTTATCTACAATTTCCACATCCTTTCACTCTTGTATTTGTGAGCAGTGTGTGAATATAAGTATGTTTTGCATTTAGTATGTGTGTGTGAATGCAGGAATATTTTTTGCACTTAGTCTTACCATTTAAATGCAATGCTATATTTTTGTGCAGGGGTATGTTTGTATTTACTGTTGGCATTTGACTGCAGGGGTGTATTTGTATGTAGCATTGGCATGTCAATGCAAAGGTGTATTTGTACATAGTGATCATGGTTGAATGCTGGGGTGTATTTATGTGTAGTATTAGCGTTTGAATGAATGGGTACACATTCACCCTCATACTGACACATACACACACCAAGACACAGATTCATACACACTGACACCGACACAAATCCACACATATATATATACATATACAAGTAATAATGTAAATATTTTTATTCACCTCCTGTTTCCATACTTTTTAGGTATAAGACGGTTGCTTCGAGTGGGATTCTGAGTAGTTTTCAGTTCATACCCCCAACTAACGGTAATAATGTTATATATAGAAAGCACTGCTGTTATTAGCAGCGTGTGAATAATTATCCACAACAACGTCTGTCTTGTATCGACAGTTGTATGGATACATTTTCCTGCACAGCTGCCTTGACTCCATAGTTTCTCCTGACTTAATTTCAAGTTGATGGTTATCGGAGCATTATCAATCTAAAGAGTTATTTCACATATTCCGTTCTTCCATTCCGAGAACTGATTTTTTTTTTATAAAGCATCCATTAGCAGTATCTCCAATTACTGAGTCATTTAAATGTCTCATTCACATGAATTGGACATTTGGCACATTTATATAGCTGTTACAATTTCCATCACACAAAGATAATTGTTACGAATGTTGCTACAGTTAAAAAACAAAAAACATTACATACACTTGTTCTTAAAAATTGTTGGCGCATACCAATCAAACAGAACTCAAACAAAACTTAACTAATGATCATCAAATTACAATGACAAACAACTTACAACAGCGTAAAAGCTAAATATCTAAGTCCAGCATCAAGTGTGTCTTCTAAACCTCTCCCACACAGAAACAACAATCATACTTTCAGTAATGACGTTTTAAATGACATGCATGACCCCTTAGTACCAAACATCACAACAATGCTGTATTGTCGTGACTGTAACTGCAACATAGAGAAAGACCTTTTTTATTCAGTCATTCATAAATGAGGTGGCAACATTTCAGCCCTGTAGGGAAGTCAAGTCAAAGACTAGTGAAGGGTTGAAATGCTGACATGTCATTCTTTAATGGCTGAATATATATATTTTGAGTCATATAATATTTTTTCACCATTACTGGAGTCCTAGATGTGTCATTTGGTACTACATTGCCTCACTATCTATCAAATACACAACATTATAGAATCATATTCATCTCAACACATACATTTTCACAAAATCTGCAAACAGTTTTATTTGCTAACTATTTGGCCAACATGCTGTATGGATTAAATTCTTTAGTTTTTAAAAACTAAACTATCGTGTTATGTTTGAAAAGGTTTTTAATTTTAAGGTAAAAAAAATTATACTTGGTAGCAAAGCTATGAGAATTTGTAACAATGATTTTGAATTTTTTTTGCCAAAGCTGAACATTATTAAAGGTTTACTCCATGCATTATGACCACTATAGGCTGCTGTTATGCTTATGGTGCCAGGAGTATCCTAGTACTTTTCCCAGGTAATGGGGCAAACTGTTTTGGCTGTGACTGTTGTAATGACATCCATCTTCTGCAGAGATGCAGGGCATGCCAATCCCTCAGGAATTCATTGGCTGCGAGAGTGAGCCAGTTAATGACATGGTGTTCAATCCGAGTAGCCAAACCTGCATTAGAATGGTTTGAATTAGACCCCCACTCTACTTTTGCTTCAGCTAACCATCCCCCAGACGCGAAACCCTGATAGACATCTGGGAATAGCCATTGTTAGACCGCGGGCTCAAGGAGCCTCCCCGAAGGCGCTCGCACTTGCTGGGCCCCCCCCCCCGGGAGAAGGGAAGGGGGTACACGAGAGACACAGGGCAGCACTGGGGGAGAGGTCGGG